AAAATATTCAACAGGAGGAATTATATAATAGGTATTTTAAAGTAGAACTTTGAAGTGCTCATTTGACACTTGTCCTTACTCTATACACCAATGACAGCTTTATGAAATCTTAGTTTGACAAACTGGGTTGTCATGACTCTTAGCAACCTTATGAGACCTCAGGTCTGTCCAAGGATATTCCAGTCCCTATCTTTACAGGAGCAAATTGCCAGGTCTTTTTTGCCCTAGTTTGTGAGTTTGAACCATCAATTTCTTGTTAGCATCGAGTGTTTTACCATTGTGCAAACAAGGACTCCCTGTAGGCAAGTAAATGATATGTTTTTTTCAGTGGATGATTAGATAATTTCCACGGAAGAGAGCTACAATATACTTTTATATAAAAAAGTATACTTTTTGACCCAAAAAGACCAAAAACTAAAGACCATACCATTTATGAGTTCAGACAAAGAACTCATCAGTATTTTAAAAAGCCACACAATAATGACACAGTGCCAAAGGAGGAAGGCTGAAACAAGAAGCAATGATAGCAAGTCACCTCAGATGTTCCTCTCAAAGGTTACTTTTCAAGTTCTTCAAAAATGGGAATAGAATTCATCCTATTATATACATAAGTGACTTGTTTCACCACTAAGTTTCATTGATAGAAGAAATCAAGTTAGTAGGGTCAAGTCCTGGCTCTGTCAGAATGTGCAGAAGTGTCCACGTGGTGCAAATGGTGTGACTGACCTGAAGGGAGGTAATCTGAACACATGTTAGAAAAGGCCTGTTTCCATTAAGATTACAGACAGAAGACCTTAATGCAACATTTTCAATCTGCAACACATAGAGGCCATGGGGGGACCTGACTATAGCAGTGAATAAGAACATCTGAGCCATAGAGTTGCCTATGAACCTTGGTACTGTCATGTTTCCTTCCCAAGCCATCTTTTTTTGGATTGCTATCATTCAATATTAACCTTTACTATAGAGTTGGACAATGACCAAGGAGGATAGAAGGAGAATTGATGCCTTTGAGCTGTGGTGCTGGAGAAGAGTATTGAGGATACCATGGACTGCTAGGAAAACAAACAGATTCATCCTGGAAAGGGTTAAACCGGGTGGCTCCGTGGAGGCAAGGATTCTGAGGCTCCGTCTAACATACTCTGGACATGTTTGAGGAGAGACTAGTCCTTGGAAAAGGACATCATGCTTGGGAGGGTGGAGGGACAGCGCAAGAGGGGAAGGCCCTCTATGAGGTGGATTGAGTCAGTGACTGGGGTAATTGGGATGGGCGTGTCAGAGACAGTGCGATTGGCACAGGACAGAGCAGAGTTTAGGGCTGTTGTACACAGGGTCGCCATGAGTCGCAAGTGACTCGACAGCACATAACAACAACAATATGGAAATATTTAAAATATAATTACTACAACTTTCCCAAGTTTATATTCACTGAAATCAAATGATGGAGGAGGAAAATGGACTTAGCATACACACATCTGAATCAGGTTTTCTTCTCTGGCGGTCTTCTGAATCAACCTCTACACTTCCATTGATTATCTGTGTACATTTTGGACAGAGCTTCCAACCAGGTACAAGCTGTCTTCCAAATTTTGCACTCAGGAAAGTGGCATCATCTAAGTCGATTACATGCAAATTTTTCTTAGCTAGTTTTTTGTGTATATTAAATGGATCACAACATGACTTCTGCAAATCCTCAAATCTGTCAATATAAATTTTTGCATGATGGAAACAAATTGTATTATTTCCAGAAAGAGTCATTCCAGTTCTAAGTTGAAGTAAAAGCATATCATTGGATGACAATTCTTGCAAAGTCTTAAAGCCTGTATGACGAGTATAGTATGTTTTATGGCACTCATTTGTGGTACGAAGCTGAACGCCAACTGAACAGGGATCCATCATCCTTGATTCCAGCAAATCTCTTCTGTTTTATTTTGCCTTCAGATTTCGTTCCTGTAGGTCACTCTAGAGAAGAGATGAAAGTAAGTCAGACCTGTGCTATAAGTTTTTTAGGCTGAAAAACTGAAAGGGCATTTGATAAAATTCATTACCTCTTTGAAAGAAAAAAAAACACCTGCAGGCAAACATATCCATTCAAAAGACAAAAATAGCATTTTATCTCATCATAAAACATCAGAAGCATTTTCTATAAAGTCAAAATTACACAAGAATATCTGCTCCCATGGCTGTTTTATCAATTAATTTTTGAGTGAAGATTTCCAAATCATATTGGTTTCACAGATTCATTCATTAATATTTTGCTTTATAACATTATCATTAACAAATACCATTAAGGAGCTGTGGTGGCCTAGTGGTAAGAAACTGAGCTGCAAGCTCCAAGGCAGGCACTTCAAATGTATCAACTGTTCTCAGAGATAAAGATGGACAATTTCCTCTTGTGAAATTTACAGCCTCTGAAAATCATGTGGAGGGTCAGCTACCAATCGGTTCCAACCTGACAGCATATAACACCAGTAAGTATAGAAGCCTCCAGATGGTGCAAACAGGTGATGGCACTTGAATGTTAACCAAAAGGTTAGCAGTTTAAATTCACCAGAAATGCTCTGAAAGAGAGGCCTGGACTCTACTTCAATAAAGTCAGCCAGTGAAAACCTTGTGGAGCACAGTGGACACCATAAGCTGGAATTAACTTGATGGCACCTAATTTCATTTGGTTTTTTAATATCTTTGCTGTCAAGTCAGAATTGAACCACAGCTGACTCTTCAGTGGTTTCTGAGTAGCTGTAAAACTGCTGGGAGGAGACTGCCCAACTTCCTCTTGAGGAGCAGTTGGTGGATTATAATTGGCATTGTTGTTGTTATGTGCCATCAAGTCGTTTGGGACTCATAGCGACCCTATGTACAACAACCCTAAACCCTGCTCTATCCTGTGCCAATTGCATTGCCTCTGACACACCCATCCCGATTACCCCAGTCACTGAATCGATCCACCTCATAGAGGGTCTTCCCCTCCTGCGCTGTCCCTCTACTCTACCCAGCATGATGTCCCTCTCCAAAGACCGGTCTCTCCTTGCAACATGTCCAAAGTATGTCAGAATCTTTGCCTCCAAGGAGTAGCCTGGTTTAACCCTCTCTAGGGTGAATCTATTTGTTTTCTTGGCAGTCCATGGTACATTCAATACTCTTCTCCAGCACCACAGCTCAAAGGCATCAACTCTCCTTCTGTCCTCCCTAGTCATTGTCCAGCTCTCTGATGCATAACAGTGATTGCAAAGACCATGGCCTGTATCAGGCGCACCTTCGTCTCCAAAGAGACACCGTTGCACCACAAACCAAGGACTGTTCTCCAGTAGTTTGAACTGACTCGTGGCAGTGTACTGCGAGTCATAAGTCGTGACATCTGGTAACAGCAACAATTCTGCCTCATTAACAGATCATTCACTCCAATATGAGACCATAATGATAGTCCTAGAAGTTAGGATTTAAAAGACATCATGAAAATTGAGCATTATTTTTAAAAAAGTACAAAAAACACGTGCAGATATTTACTTGCTATACATGAAACCTGACACTAAAAAGATGAGAGGTGGCAAGTAGCTATAAATCTAATAAAAGTTGCCAGAGAAGCTCTGTGTGGACAGAAAGCAGAATTGCTAAAATGTTGGGAACATGCTCTACTGGGTTGCCACAGTCTGATTATTTAGGGGCTTTATGTTTATGTTTTGAATTTTTTTTTTTTAACCCCTTGAAAAGATTTGACTATGAGATCCAGGTCTTAAGTACTGCAAAACTGTATCTAACTAGGTATAGTTTACAAACAATAAAATTCCTGAATGGGTCTCTAAAGGTTTTCCAGTATGAATGTCTACATGAATTTCACCCGTATACATAATTAATTTCCATTTCAAATAGCAAAGTTCCTTTCTTTAAACAATTCTGCACTTCAGACTTTCTCCTGACCTAGGATGAATTGCTGGCACTGTTTTAATGTCATAGTATGCTTTCTATTATTTTGTATAAGGCATGATCAATTCATTGCAAATACCTCTTAAAAGAAAAACAAAAACAGTGACTATTCACACAGACGTCACCTGATGGAATACACAGGAATCAGACTGACTACTTTGGTGGAAGAGTCAGCAGAGCAATTCAATATTGGCAATTAAAACAAGCCAAGGATTTACTATGGAAAAGACCATCAATTACTCATGTGCAAGTTCAAATGGAATCTGAAGAAAATGAAAACATGTGACGAGAACTAAATACGACCCTAAGTCTAGCCTAATTTAAAAAGCATCTCAAGAATAGATTTGATGCACTGAACACTAACGACCTAAGACCAGAAAAGGTTGGGAAGACATCAAGAGAGCAAAAAGGTCATTATAAAGACAAGAAAGAGACAAAAAGACCAAAACAGAAGTCAGAAGAGACTCAAACCAACAGGAAAAGAGCACATTCAGCATTTCTCAAGCTGAAAAAACTGAAGAACAAATTCAAGCCTCAGTGTGCAATACTGAAGGATTCTATAGGCAAAGTCTTTAATGATATAAGAAACACCAAAAGATAATGAAAAGAATTCACAGTCACTATTCCAAAAAGAATTGGTCTACACAGAATGATTTCGGGAAGTAGCATATGAAGGAAGAAGTTCAAAGTGCAATGAAGACTTTGTTAAACATGCCAATCGGTAGCCCATCTTTTCATCATTTTTTGACAAACAGATGCAGCCCTGGCTATGGTGTGCTCACTAGCCAAAGCCAAGAAACCTGGAGGACAGCAATCTGGCCACCTGACTGAAGGGATCTGTACATGTTCTCTTTCCAAAGAAAGGTGATCCAAAGAATATGGCAATTGTCTAACAATATCATTATTATCACCCTACAGGAAAATCTTCCTGAAGAGTATCCAGAAATAGCTCGAAGTACACTGACAGCGAGCTTCCAGAAATTCAAGCAGGATTCAGAAAAGGCTGTAGCCTGATGGTGCCTGTAACAATGGCCGGAGCATGGCAGAGGGAGCACGGCAGAGATTGTGAGGGTGCCCAGGAGAAAGCAGAGTTCAGCGTTACCATAAATCAGAGTTGACTGCATGGCACCCAACAACAAAAAGATAGTATATTTTGGGATTCTAAGATTAACATTTACTATCTGTATAAGCAAATCCAAGCCCACTACCACTCAGCTGATTTCAAAGCCACCCTTTCCACTGGGTCTCTGAGGCTATAAATCGTTAGAAGAGACTGCTTATCTTTTTTTCCAATGTAGCAGAGTGTGGATTTGAACCATTTAGTTAGCAGCATAAAGTGTTAGAAAATGTGCTACTATTTTTGTTGTTAGGTGCTGTCAAGTATCGAGACCCCATGAATAACAGACCTGAACCCGGTCCTATTCTGTGCTTTCCTAATGAAACAATTTCATCTATTTTTATTGCCTGAATGAGGGCCTTCAGTTATGATATGTGTACAACACTCATATCTTTGGCAACTGTTAACTTTTAATGTTTCTATCTTTAAAACACAAAAGACTCAAATAAGAATGTGGAAGACCAGAACAGGATTAAAAAGAGCTGATAGTCTCAAAAAGACGCAAGAACAGCTATTTAAAAAACAACAAACCCCACCCAAAAAACCAAACACCAAATAAAGGCAATTCACTGCCATCAAGTTGATTTAGATGTACAGAAACCATGACAGACCATGTAGGATCACATAGGGCTGGGCTGTACATGGTTTGGAAAGTTGTAAATCCTCATGGAAGCAAACTGCTTCACTTTCCTTCAGTAGAGCAGCGAATGGGCAGAACCAACCTCTCAGCTAACAGCCCAGTATTTAATTCACTATGACACTAGGCCTCCTTTAAAAAAGTAAGATGAACTTAAAAACACAGCCCATAATTCCATTTTAAAGTGTTAGATACAAGGCTAAGCATCTTTTATCTGCAAACTCACTTTATAGGTGGAAAAACTGAAGCTTAGAATTATAGTTACTGAATCCAGAAAAATACCTGACATAAATTAGACATGTATTTGATGAATTAAAAGCCAAACAAATTTTTAAAAAATATTTAATTTTACATTTATGTGAGCTATTCTAAAATAAGCAAAAGGCACTACAGTTTTCCTAAAGCTTTGTCCAGTGTATTTTCAAGTCATTTTAAGGAAAATGTAGCAGTCTTCCAGCTTCCAAACTCCATTTTCAGTTTGCTCTTAGTCCTCTGTCCCTTGAAAGCCAAATAGGGCAGAAGAGAAATTTCAATGACAGAGAGGTTGTTTTCAGACCACCAGGAATAAGCGTTGCTTTTCCTTTTGTGTTATGCTGGATGTGGCCAAAACTCCCAAACGATAATGTTAACACAACTAATGTTTAACTGTTAGATGATGTTGTTGTTGTTAGGTGCACTCAAGTTGAGTATGACTCACAGTGACCCTATGAACAAAAGATTCGAACCCTGTTATCTCCTGCATTACAGCAGTTACAAGTCAATCCACATAGCTGAGGGTCTTCTTCTCCTTCGGGACCCTTCACCCTTCCCAGTATCATTTTCTTCCCCACGGAATAGCCCCTCTTCGCAACATGTTCAAAACATGTGAGCCGTCTAAAAATTTTAACATCTTCTTATTATGGGATAAGTTGATTCAATTGCTACACACTCCAGGTCAAATATACCAGCTGCATAGTTCTCCCTCTCTTTCTATTTTCTCAAGAGAGATCTGGTGGCCGAGTGTGTAGAAGCTGTATTGTTAAGCCAAACGTGAGGTTTCTCTGGCCGTTTGACCTATCCTTTATTAGGCTGGAGAAAGATGGATAATCTTCTTCACGGCAATTTATAAACCTGAGAAACCCCAATACAGGGTCACCCATGACTCAGCTGGAACCGACAGCAATGACTGGTGTCGTTTGTTTGCTTCCTTTGTCTTCTTAGAATGCCCTAGTCTATTTTTTATTTAATTCCTCCTTACTCTGTGCTAGCCCAACAGTCTGAGTGCTTT